CCCCCCCCCCCCCCCCCCACCTAGGTCGCACAGAAACAAAATAACCTTGATACTAACTGCCGCCAAACACAGATCTCGAGGAGATACCAATGGTCCCGGTGGGAAATTAGCCTTGCCAGGAAGATTCATGCTCTGCAGCTGGTGCGTCGATGCGAAGTAATCACACAAATAATAAATGTTCTGCTGCGGTTGAACAGCAAGCAGCAGGACGGCACAAAAAAAAAAAGAGAAGCAACCACGACATACGAAAACCACAGTCCCCGCCCTCACGCCCCAAGCCCTGTCTCAACCAGAATGCACGCCCACTTCAGTCATCATAATCTTCATGCCTAGCACACACCGCCACGAGTCCCCCCCCAACGCCGTTGCACACCTGTTTCTTGCCGCTTCCTGGTTGGGGTGCCGGCGCGGTGGCTCCCTCTGGGTCTTGAGCCTCGAGCTGCTTGCGGTACTGCTCGAGCTCCGCCTTGGTGAGGAAGCGACCTCCCGGCCCTCGCACCCTTCGCATCGCGTGGTCATGCCGGGACTTGTGCAAGAATGTCTGCCGAAGATGAATAGGAGCGGGAGGGGCGGCGAATGTAATTAGAGTTTTGAGCGGAGAGGGGGTGGTGGTGGCGTTCCTGGTCGTTTTCCGCCTGAAACATCGTACACACCAAGAAAAAGTCTTGTTCCGTGAAATCTCGTGTTCACCAAAAAGCGGCTATTTACGAGCACAGAGACACGTCATTCAATAGCTTCCCGAGAATTTTCGAGGAAAACTACCGTATAGTGGTCGTCGATTTGGCTAAAAAAAATACTTCTGCACCCCTATCTAAGCCCTGCTTTGGGTCTTGACTACTGCTGTGTTGTCTCTTATCTTACCTTCCGCTGCGGAGCGACCTTTCGGCGAGCCTCGAGTTTGGCCCTCGCCTCCCTCCGCTTCATGATGCGCCGGTACTGCTTCGCGTTCACGTACGTCGGTGGGTCCTCCGTGACTTGCTAAAAAAGACAAGCAAACGTAGGAGGGGCACACAAGCAAATGTTGCAAGTTCAGCATCATGGGAACAACAGCCGCGGAGAGAGGTGGTGGCGACTGCCGCAAGGAAGGGCGCGTTATTCCTGTTCCTTTTCATACACCGCGGTCATTGGTTGACGGGAGACGGATCCACGAAAAAAAAAAAAATGGCCCTGTCCCTAAATATGTTGTAGGTAGATATCCTGGCGATCCAGAGAGTCGTAACGATTGAGTGCGTTCGCTCGGCACAAAAGCTCAAAAACTGGCGACTCACATCGGTCGGTAGCGCCACGCGGCTGAACAGAGGGTACTGCTGCTGTTGCTGTTGCTGTTGCTGCTGTTGCTGTTGCAGCTGTTGCACTACGTGAGGCATCAGCATCAGGGCCGCAGGGTTCTGCGACATCGCCATGTACATGTTCTACCCTCGCCGGGAAAACAGCAACAACGATGCAACGCACGCACAGGGAACAAACGTTTGTTTACGGCAACAGAAGTTCGCGCCACGACAAGACACAGGCATCGTGAGAACTTTTTTTTTTAGCGCAAGGGAGTGCGGCCGTCACATGCAAGAGTGCTGCCTTCCCAGGATCGCCGCCACCACGGGGCTAGGAACGAAGGCGTAAACGAGAACAAGGACGCGCGGGCGAAAACGTAGTCAAAGGAGCACCGTGTTGCCTCTACCAAGAAGCGACCAAGATGTACAGCACAAGAGAATGTCCACGAAAAGCAGGCTCGAATCAGGAACCGGCTGTCTTCCTAATGGTTTACACAAGGGTACGAGTCAGTGGACCTACTTTTGTTGACGTGTTGACGGCTCTGGCAAGATCGTGCTCCTAGACGCGCTGGTCCTATGAACCCACCGGCGGGCGCGAGCGCAGCGTGCATCATGTGACCCAAGCGCAGGGTGAGCAACCGCTTTGATCGTCACGGAATAAATTAATTGCTTCAAAACCGCCGGAAATCCGGTAGACACAAGTCCAGGGAAACTCGAACGCAAAAAAAACACAAGTACAGTTGACGTCGTCAGCAATCTCACCACTAACTGCTGCTGTTGCTCCGCCGACATCTGCTGCTCCTCATTTCCCAGCACGCTCTGCTCCCCCGCCGCCCCTCCGGCGCCGCCGCCTTCCGGCATCACCAGCTGCTGCCCCGGAGCAACCTGTTGGGCTTGTTGTTGTAGCAACAAGAGTTGCTGAGAGACGTCTTGCGGCAATTGTGGCGCCGAGACTTCAACGAGCTGTTGTTGTTGCTGCTGCTGCTGCTGCTGCTGCTGCTGCTGCTGCTGCTGCTGCTGCTGCTGCTGCTGCTGCTGCTGCTGCTGCTGTGAGATACCATTGTCCTGTAGGACGCCTGCCTCTTGCCCTTGTGGGTGCTGCTCCAGTTGGTGCGCAACCTGCTGTGCCAGGAGCGCCATCTGAGAGTTGCCGGGCATGTGCGGAGCCGCTCCCATCGTCGTCGGGAGCGGTACTTGTACGTGCTGCTGCTGCTGCTGCTGCGGCTGCTGTGGCTGACTAGGGTCCATCGCGCTAACTAACTACCCCGCCCTCCGAAGCTGCGCGCGCACTCGCGTGTCTGTCGCTACGGGTCCGTTGCCCGTCTCAATGCTGCCACAAAGTCGGTCGCGAACAGGGCGGCAGGTAAAGAGCCGAACGGGGTTTCAAAAAACACGGCGATCTCAAGGGCAGTGTCTGATGTCAGCGTTTGCACTCCACCCCGGGTGCAAGAACGTTCACGAGGAGCGCATACTCTTCGAGGTGTTTTTTTGGTTTCGCCTTCATTCCAACAAAACTTCGCCGGAAGGTTATGTCCGAAGGAAGTCGGTTGTTTTCCTGCCGCTTGCTTTCAATTCTTAACGCGAGCGGGTTCTGCAGGTCCCTGGAAATAAAATACATGGTACTTCAACCAATTACTGCTGTCCAGAGTATATCCGATGTGTGGAACGCGAGATCAGGAACGTCCGACGCTGCGACGGGCCTACTGTCACAATTGAATGCCCTTGTTGCGAAGGTATGGTAATCTTCGACAACGTACCAGGGTTGTGAGGAGGTCAGACCTGGACTGGCCTCCCCACAACCCTGGTACGTTGTCGGCGATTACCATACCTTCGCAACAAGGGCATTCCATTGTAACAGTAGGCCCGTCGGGCGTCGGACGTTCCTGATTTCGCGTTCCACACCTCGGGTATGGTAATCTAGCTCCCGCGCCGTGTCGCCTGCATACCCGCGGAAAGTTACATTGACATTACAAGAAGAGCAGCATCGTCTTACGCTTCACGGTCATCTCATGGTATGGGTGCATGGATACACGAGTCGTGAACAGCCGCGGAACGACATTGGGATGAGCTTGAAGAAGCACGCTGAACTATGTACGTTTGTAAGAGGAAGACGCTCTTGCCTGCACATTCAATGGATCATCCTAAGTCAGAATTGAATCCAGGAACACCTTTGCAACGGCTCCATTCTTGCAATAAGAATCAAGATTCTCTTCACCGACAGGTACAGATTTCGCCAAAGGAAAGCAGACGACAAGTTGATCATCTTTGTCGACCATGCAATCGATATATGTCCCTGATAATCGGTTTACGAGCACCCAATAGCCGGCCAAGATCGGAAGATTTCGTCGGTTTCCTATCCCCCCCTACTACCACCGCGATCTTATCCAGCAGAGTTGAAACACGAATACGGACTAGTTGGTGATCCTGAAAGAAAAAAAAAACGGTCAGAGAAACACGCTCCGCAACGGGCACGGGCGCGAATCTGAGCTGTACTGCTGTTAAGAAAAGGGGATTCCAATCAAGTTCACCATGGCAGCGCAGACAGCGGTCGCCTTGCCTCTACGGTCTTCTAAAAGCCAGGGACTTGATTGAGAGGGCTTGTATCGCCAAGATTGGACAAACCATTTATTACGCACATCTACGGCTACGACAAGTGGTATTTAGTGTGCACCCCGAGGTAATCGGGAGCATTTCAGGCAACATATTCCTGGTCTCCATGTAGATGTGCATACTACAGCGGTGGTACATCGTGCCTGCAGCAGTAGTCTAGTCATGTGATAACTTTAACTGCTCTCTGCTATTGACTTGGACACACGATGCAAGGAACGACAACATTTTTACTCTAGCGCGCAGGCTGACTGCACCTTTTAATCATCTCGGCATCTCCGCATCCCGGAAGGTTGATGAGGTTATGGTCTGTCCTGCTGTCTCGTGTTCTTGAATTTAGACTACCGAATGCATACAGCGGTACACATGTGGGTACATCAACGATGGACAATTTACCGCAACGCTTGTACAATAGGCTCATTTTTCTCGTGTAATATAATGGAGCAAAAGAGCGTGTGTGTGAGAGGCAGCCCAGTTACACTGGGGCCGCCACGACTCCTAAACGATAAGCCAGCAGCGCAAGCGCCGCCGCTTAACTCTCGGAACATTTCGGCCATGTGCGCATAAACCTTGGCAGGAGTCTTCGCGTGTGTTCTTCGCGCTTCCCGGGTATAGTGCGTTATTGCGAGCTCTGTGCACGACCTGGGCCCTTACGAGACCGGCTGCACCGGCGTGAGCTTCGCGAACTCTTCCCCCCTTGAGCCGTCACTTCACAACAATCTCTCTCCCGCTGGACACATGTCAATGTGGTTTCAGTTTAAATCAGCGAATCATCTTCCTCCAAACAAGCCCACTCGAGAGATCAGAGCAGTTCCTGTCACCCGTGTGTCAACGACGTCAAAATATCAAAGGACTCGAAGGACTAACCTCCCACAACAGGGGGGTTGTGCTGAGTTCCGTGCCCTGTTCCGATCGCACCCGCCAGAGGCAGGGAGGGGTCTGTTGTGGCGAAGTCCCGCGTAAATCTTAGCGCCTGCTGTTGGCTCCAGGAAACGTGAGACCAAAGGACGACGAGTTGGTCGGGCCGCGGACCTGGACTTCGCTGCGGTTTCTCTTCGTGCTCTTCGTCTCCGAGATGTGTGAACGTGATTGGGCAGCAAGGCGTGCCTGCACGTGATTGGGCGCATGCGAGCGCCTGAAACTAGGGATCATCGTGGATTGTACGAATCAGGGGACGTTACGATGATTCACGGCGCCCCACCGCTTTCTCGTGCCGGGGCCCCCTACTGTGCAAGCCCCCCCCTCTCCCCACCCAGCTCCACAGGACTCAGGACAGCCAGCAACAGCAGCCAGTGCATTGTGTCCTTTTCTCTCTTCACCGACCTGACCTGGTGGAGCACGGAGGGAGCCAGAGACAAGAAACATGTCCTCGCCACGTTATCACGGTAAGCCAATGAATGAATCCGCAAGAGTTTTCCGGTCTCGAGGAGAGCTCTCTTTCAAATTGTGGACCTGTCTGCTCTTGACTGCCAGCAGGTCCTCTCGCCTATTGACTCTTGACAGCCAAGAAATGGTGTAGCAGTGCCTTGGCCTGCTATGATGGGGCAATGCTGTCACCACTTGTTTGGTATTTGGTTGCTAGGACGTATGGATGCATGGAAATGTCTGGCATGGTCGACCGCAGCTAGCTCGTATCGGTCAGATGTTGCTCTACGGAGTATCCTTGTTGCTCTATCGTCAATGTGTATCCTTGTTGCCGTTCTTGCGCCTTGCAGAACACGAGCTGCCGATACCAAATCTTACGCATGCATGCCATGGCAGGGCCTGGAGAAATGCTTCAAATACGTTTATGGGAAAAACTGATGGTTCCTGTTTGCATCGTACACGCAAGAATTGTAAGACGGCTAGGCTATTGGGATGCTGCTGCACTCCCAAAGCTGACGTCCTTGATGAAGACTTGCGCAGACGCCGTTCGACATGTTGGTACCGCGGTTTGGAGTGGGTAGACTATGTCGGACATCGAATAATATGCCTCCACCGCGAAGCAGCATTTGGTAGTTTCGTACGAATCGGTAGGTACACGGGTTACACCGTGTGGCGCCAACGGAGATCCTGCTCCTGGCACCGCAGTAGTTGTTGGAATACATACCAGACACACGTGCACATGTATTATGCTTGCTCCACTCTGACCTGGCAACTTGAAACGTGTACGACCTGTTTCTTCCGCCCGGCTGGCTCATCCTCGACTTCGCAGCGGATGGCCAAGAACCCTCGCTGAAACGCCAAAAAGGTGTGCGTTTGTGCGTAGGTGTCATGGGACGACCATGAGTCTAGAGTTCGCATGCATAGATCGGGCGTGGGGGTGGGTACGTGGGTACTGCAGCCGTCGTAGAGGAGAGAGACCACATCACCTTCGTTCTTGTGTTCGCTTTCTGGCCAGGCAGTAGACGGCGACTGTGTTCCGCAGCCTTCTGGCAGCAAGGAGTTTTCAACACTTCCGACTACAAATCCCTAGGACGCCATATATTTCCTGCGCGCTATATATCTCTGTTCAATCGACCTAATTCCGTCCTCTTGCGCATGTTGAAATCGGCACGATTTCGCGTCTCCCACGTTTCAACCCGTTTTGAAGGCCAATTCCAGCATCATCACCACCACCAGCAGCAGCACCAACAACATGCTCCAACCACCCCGAGGTACATCCCCGGAGGGGGCGAACGCTCTTCGTTCGCGTCCCCTCCCCCCCCCTCTCCCTTCTCCCCACCGAGTACCCCCCAAGCGAACGGCCGCGGCGGCGGTCAGTCTTCGCCGACACCGGCACAATGGGAAACGCCGCAGCCCCAGGCGCCGCCTCCTGCTCCTCCTCTGCCGCACGGTGCGAATCGTCGGCAGGTGTCTTACCAGGGCTCGCGGGGGGTTACTCTTTCCTTCAACTACTGGGTAGGGCGCGCGCTCTCCAACCAGGTGAAGAAAATACCCACCACGTGCTTGAGATCGTTTGGTATACAGGCGTCGGGCAAGGGCGTGTGGTAGTGGGACGTGCCTTAGCAGAGACACAAGCCTTTTTTAGCAGCAGTAGCGTATTGTGTTTGCCTTTCCGACTGCGACCTATCCCCCCTCGGCCCCTTTCCGACCCCCTTCTCCCCATTCGTCATATTGGCGGTACAATCGCCCATCCTTACCCCCCCCCACCCCCCGCAAATCTCGACCTTGTAGCATGTTCCACACCCCAAGTTCCACCGTCAACCCAATCGTGTTGGCGTTTCCTTGGCGTTGCACACCGGCAGGTCCTGACGTCGTCTGTGCGAGAGCTCGTCGTTTCGACTCTGGCCGGAGAGCAGGCGCCGGAATTCGTCGAGAAGGTGCCCGGCGCGGACAAGGTGGTCGTCGCGTGCGTCTCTGGGCTGGGCATGGCGAAGGCGGAGATGTCCATGGCAGAGGAAGGGGTGAGGAGGAGAGAGATTGAAGGCGAAGGCGGGGGGGGGGCGAGTTGGACGGGGTACACGTGCGTGAAAAGCAGTCTATGCATGTGTTCTTATAACGGAGGTTTCGATCACGATGTCCACGTAAGGGAACTTTGTTGTGCAAGTGGGGCATGAACGCGGCGTATTGTGTTCTTGAAGGTTTGGTCGTTGGTGTGGACCTTTGCTGTTATGTAACGCCTCTCGTCTAGACCCCATCGCAAGGTGTCATCACGAGTGTACCCCTAGTTTACTCCGACCTTCTCCTACTCCCGGCCTCCTGACCCTATCGCCCCCCCTCCCCCTCTCGCATGAAATCGACTTTACCCTCGGCACCGCTGGGACACTAAAACGCGGACATCCTCAGGCGTGCCCATTCCTAAGCTCGTGCTCGTCCGTTCCTGTTCGTCACTCCCTGGAGGCTGGTCGTGGCCGCAGTGCGCCGAGGTGATGGCTCCGTGATGTTACGTTTTTTTGTGGCGCCCTTGTGTCAGCCGCTGACCCTCTCACCTGTGGAACAGAAGCAGCGCGCCGATCCGTGAAATATGTGAGAGGAAGAAGTTCTTGATAGCGCGGATTTCGATCTGCAGGTAACAGCAAAGCGTGGTAGGTCCGGGCTCCGAGTTGCATCTGCAGCAGCAGTGCTGGTGGTGGGAGGGGCTGCCAGTTGAGCAGGCACTTGTAGTCGTGAAAGATATCGGGGAGGAGTTGGGTTGTTTTCTGTTTTGCACTCTTTGTTTTGGTGCTGTGCGTGACATGTGCTGCCATTTCGTAGGATGTACGCAGAGGGGAAGGTCTTCTTGTTGTGGAATTTTTCCGGCTTCAGCTATAGGTTAATGTTTTTGTTTTTTTGTGTCTTTTACCTGCACGACGGTATCAGCCGGTACTACCATGCTGCCGATTTTTGTGCCCTGTTCTGCCTGTCTCAGAAGAGTTATCTCCAGTGAGTCGACTTCTGACTTGCTCCGTCAGTAGCAGGGCAGCAGTCCTACACATGGAGTCCACTCGCCTTGTTCTTTTGGATGCGCTGGGGTTTGTCCTCGGTGTTCGCATGTCGCTCTCCCTCTCTCTCTCTCCCTCTCTCTCTCCCTCTCTCTCTCTCTCTCTCTCTCTCTCTCTCTCTCTTTCTAGTGTGTGTGTTTGTTTGAGTGGCAACAGCCAGAAAGAAACAAATGCACGTTACCACCCCCGCGCAGGGTGTCGGACGTGCAGCCGGGCGCGGCGCTCATGATGTGGGGAGAGAAACCTACGGTTCCCATCGAAGAGATAGCGGCCATGAGGTGAGAGGTGCGGCAACAACTACATAAAACATACAACCCATGCCTGTCAAGTCGGAAAATGACTAATTTGATACGGATCACCAGTTATCTCACGCGACTCCTGCCACTGGGTATGTTAAGGGCACTCACCTAATGATTGTGACGAATGTAGCTGTTGGCTGCGTCGACGTTTTTTGTGTGGTTTGGTGTGGGGAACGATGCCGACGAAGGGGTAGCCGCGGCGCTCCGACCAGTGCGAGGTGCCTTGTTTTTTTTTCTGTGGTTCGTTTTCTGACGTAGGTTTGCTGCAGATGTGGAACGGATCATGTGGTTGGTTGTTACGACGAGGACCACGGGAAGGACCACCCGCAGACACAAAAAAAAATATATATATAGCCGCAAGATAAGGCACCCGTATGCCATGTCAAGTGCTGTGGCATTCAATGTGACCAATACGTCGTCAAAACCTTTCCCCGTCGCGTGTCATCACGTGTGTGCGATTTTATCCTAATTTTACGTCAACTTTGTGCATGTAGTGGTCGGTATTCGTCGCCTTTCCCGCTTCACTATGTTAAATCTCCAACCCTCCTCCCTTGATGATGTGAGAGCCTGGTCCGGTGAGAACCCGGCGTGCTCCGTCCCGGCTTTGTAGGGATGCGAGGTCAATGGTCTAACGACTACGGCATGCAAGACTATGAGCACACACCCACCCTGGTCCATCCACCCCCCGCCAAACGAAAAGCTTAATCGAGGTCTTCCGAGACTGTGAGGTGACGTTCGCGGGCAGCAAGTCTCCGGGTTGGAAGGACGACGTTACTTTCCTCCCCTCGTCGTCGTCAGCATCTTCCGAAACGCATCCGCCAACGTCGAAACCCGAGCCCGCCGGCGGCGGCGGCGACGGCATTGGGGAGGGAGGGACGGAACAAGGTGACCCCGGCCCGGCAGCAACTGGCGGCGAGGAGGGTCAGTTGGGGATCGAGACACCGACACGACGAAAAAAAGCAGCAGCGCGGCAGCAACAGCAACATAAGCAGCAGCAGCAGCGGCAGCAGGCGACGACGTGCCAGGGAAAGTTCTGGAGAAACCAGAACCGTGACAGCGGGCGGTACACCCTGGAGGTGGGAGATGGGGGGGAGGCGGCGGTCCTGACGCTGAGCTGGGACCGCTGGGACGACGAGGTCGTGGTCCTGAAGGATCGGAAGCTCGGGATCCGATTCGAAGGTGACATGGCGGGTCGAAGTGACACGGCGGGTGGGGCGCGTTTGTGCGCGCTCGACGAGCGTTTTATCTTTTTGCTTTGAGCCTCTTTCCGTTTTGAGATTTTGGTGATGGCGACTGCACCACGTAAGCTGTACCGGCGTGGTCCTGCTGCGACACCAAGGCACAGTAGGACAACGTGCTTGTTTTCGTCTGACATGATGCCGCGGTTGCTCCGTTGCCTATGCAACTTCTATGAGGTAACCCGCCCAAACGGTACTTGCTGCTACTGCTACTGCTTGTGATACTTGATGCTGATTCAACGCAACGCCGCATGCATTCTCCCTGCGCCTCGCCCATTCGCCGGCTTTCAACCACCTCGCCACCTTTCATCAGGCAAGGGCCACAGCTTGAGGCTAAACCTCGCTTGTGCTCGACGCCTGGTAAGTGAGTTGCCATCACAAAGCTTGACCTTGTTCGTGCTGTATGTATGTACATTGAGAATGGCATTTCGTGGCCATGTCGTTGTGGTTCGGCTGGGGGCACGGCTAGGCGAGCGCTTTGGTGCATATCTTAATCTTTCTGCGAAAATGAATACGTGCAGGATTTTTAAGAGAAGCGTCTTCTCTTGCACGGCAAAGTGTGTGTGATTGGTGTTGATCCCCTTGCAGCGGAATCGCTCTGTTGTCGTTTGCCTCTGGGCCTGCCGCTTTTTCTTGTTCTTCTTCCCTTGTCAGCCCCTGCGAAGATCAACGTGCTACAAATCATGTGTACTTGTTGTCCACCAAGAGCGTTCGCGCGTGCTGCCGTTGAGTGAGTCTTGATTTTTGTGCTTGCGTCACCATCTTGTAGATCCTGTGTTCTCTCCCGTGCTTGCTCTGTTCCTCGCCTTCCCCCCCCCCCTCTCTCACCGCCTGCAGACAGACGAGGAGAAAATGCTGTCTCGAAGTGCGCAAGTCGCATCGGCACCGGTGCTTCGAGTGGTGGCGGTTGGCTCTTCCTCCATTCCCACCCCCACTCCCGCCATCGAACAAACCAACAAGCGCGCTTCGGAAAGCTCCGAGCCTGCAAAAACAGCTGCTGGGGCGCTGGCTGCCGGTACTGCGGAGCCTTCATCCAAGATGAGCCACGGCGGAAGCGGCAACGGTGACGGGGATGACGGCGTTGTCGTGGTGAGAGTCCCGCTGGAATCTCTCGACCCCGAGGCGTTCTGCTTGACACCGGTGAGCGATCGATGGCCACGAACACGAGAGTTGTTGATCTCCACCAGGAGGGTCTGTGAAAATGGAATTGATGCTGCTACCTATGGAGTCTACGGGCTGGGTGATCGTCAACTTTGGAACGAAGACACACCAACAAGATGCGCCACATCCGTTTTCCGGTTTTCGTTTGTTGCCCTCGGGGTGTAACCGTTCTGTGGTCGCTCTCCTCGTATGCGCCTCAGCTCCTGTAGTCGTCTTGTGTGTTTTTTCACCAGTATATCAGTTCACCACGAAAATGAGACCTACTGCATGCATGGGTTCGGAGACCATCGGGCGCGTGCAGGGTTAGTACTGGCATCCTCTGCCTGATCGTTGTCACATTAGTGGCGCCTCGTTCTTGTGGAATGATACGGCGGTGTGTACGACAGGCCGCCCGCTATCGGCTCGACATGCCGATCCGGGTCTCGGAGGAAGGCCCGGGCTACGTTTCGAGCGACCAGCCGATGGCACCGCGTACCCAAGAGGAAGAAGAAGAAGAACGAAATAACAGAAGAGAAAAGAGGGAGCGACAGGAGAAGATTTGGGACAAGGCGCAGGCACACCGCCGCAAAGACCAAGAAGAGGAGGAGGAGGAGGACGAGGAGGAGGAGGAGGAGGAGGAGGAGGGCGCGATAAAGGAGGAAGATGGTGAGGTAGTGTTGGGAATCGAAGCGCCTTCGCCGAGCCTTCCGCCGCCGCCGACACCGCCGTCGTCGGGAGGCAGTGCCTCAGAACCGGCTCCGGCCCTTGCGGCCGCGGCGGCGGCGGCAGGGTCGGGAACGGTCTCGGGGGAAGAAGAGCAGCCTTCGGGAAGGTCGGCCGATGGAAAGGGCAGGCGGCAGCAGCAGCAGCAGGATGGGGAGTTTGTGCCTCCGTCAGCGGATAGGCTGTGTCCGATCCCGTCCGGACCGCACAAGGGAACCGTCATGTTGGGGCTGGACTGTGAGATGGTGCGTGCGTGCTTGCGTTTACTCTTGGATCCCCTTCTGTCGTTTCGACATGAGTTGTCGTATGCATGCTTGGCCGGCCCCGTTTTCCTTTCGCCTGTCTCGCCTCGTGTCGCTTTGTTGGACATCTTATGGTGGTGCTGTGACAGCAACAGCAGCAGCGTGCGGTGAGCTTTCATCACTCATCCCCGCTCGGCCCATCTCAACACGTCGATTTGTCCTCTCCGGTAATCGCCGCCTCATGTTCTCGCTCTTTTTTGTTCGGTATTCCCTAATTAATAATTTCCTCGCCCGGCGGCCGTTGGTCTGTCGGGTGGTATCCCACACAGGTCTACACGAGCGAAGGGCTGGAGCTTGCACGCGCTACTCTGGTGAACGTCAAGGGCCAAATGGTCTACGACAAGCTTGTGAAGCCCACGTGAGTCCTCGTGTCGTGCGCCGCGGGTTCTATCGTAGCCGTTGTTGCGCATTGGTTGACGGCACGGTTTCTTGGGGCGGCAGTTGCGGAAAGGTGGTGCGGTGCTCTGTTCCCACAGGGTTGTCGTGAACGGTCTCCGAACCATCCGCCGTGTAACGCGGTCTTTCTTAACGTGCCCACGCTTCTCCGTGTCCGGGTGTGATTCGTTTTACGCCTTTTGTCATTATTCTGGCTCGCTGCCGTCGTGATGTCACTGTCCGTTATTTTGCCGGCGGCGCACGTGCATTCTTCGTCAGGCTTAAGGTCACGGATTACAACACGCAGTTCAGCGGCATCACTCCTGAGATGCTCAAAGGTAAAAGCCGGGAAACAGCTCAGCGACCAGAAGAACTAGAACTTTGGAAAGGAATACATATGGCATCGCGCATACATGTGTCAAAGGCCCTAAGTTCTCGCTTTCACTCGACCGACGACATGAACACCAATCTGCCTGCAAGAAGATACGGCCCGTTCCACCGGCGGTGTGAGAAAAAGAAAGAGCTGGTGTGCGTGCTCGAACACTGCAGACAAGCGCTCTTTGGAGCGCACGGAAAGAAGAAAGAGCTCCCGCCTCCTCAATCATCCGTCAGTTTTGAATTTTCCGATAAATCATCCTAGGGGAGCTTATTTGTTGTTTCTGCGTGCAGGAAGTTAAGTTTGCCCTTGCTTCCTTCCGCTTGCAGGACAGGGAATTGGCTGTAAGCAAACCCACCCCTGGTCACCCCACACGTTCTCCGTTGCCCCCAGCAAAACACATCCCCGCGCTGTCTTATTTGCTGTGGTTATCGCAATCATGGTTTCGAGCTGAGTTGTGAGTGTTCTGTTCGCTGGCTGCCTTCGCCGACCAAACGCTCGCTCGCTCGCTCCGGGGTCGCAGGCGTGACGCGGACTCTGCGAGACGCTCAGCGAGAGATCCTGTCGTTCGTGGACGCCGAGACTTACCTGGTGGGGCACAGCCTGGACAGCGACCTCAGGGCGCTCCGTCTTGTCCACCGCCGTCTCATCGACACGTCCGAGCTGTACCCCAACCCCAGGGGCATTCCGTTCAAGGCAAGGCGTCTGAGTTTCGCCTGAAGCGTTCGTAAGATAGATGGACGCGGTACTTCTCCCTCCCACCCCTCTTTCCTTCGTTCACGTATGTGCCTGTCTCGCTGACCCACCTGGTCTTGCGTGTATGGCATGCTGACACGACGTGGTAGCGGACTCTTGCTCGACGAACTCTTGTTTTGCGAACATTTGCTCTCCTGTCTTAATTCTCTCGCCCACTCGCACCTCTCCCCTGCCTCAATCTTTTGTCCCGGTTTCCCTTTTCACTCTGCTGTGTCGTACCTCATTTTCGGTCCGGCATTTACTCGCCAGAACGGCCTCCGTGTGCTCAGCAAGACGGTGTTGGGACGAGCAATCCAGGGGGGGGATGCCGGGCACGACAGCGGCGAGGTGAGTTCTTTCCCGTGCCAGTTGGACTGTTGAGGAAGAACTGTTGCTGCGGTGGTTGCTGCTTGGAACAACGTGAAAGTGAACTCTGGAGGAAACCCAACAGTAATCGAGTACAGAGTTGGCGAGTGTGTGTGCATAGCATCCGGGACGTTGTTAAAGAGTCGGAAATCTCCTCGCATACCTTTGAGTGTTTGACGCTTGTCCTTTAGCGCTGCTCTGCGGCATTCGCCAGGTAAAGGCTTACGCCCTGCCCCCACACTCCTTCCCGTCCGCACCCACTTATTTTTTCCTTGCCTCCGCGGTAGCAACCTCTTGCCTAGAGCCCTCACTTTTTACTGAACCTCAGGGGAGTGTACGCAAAAGGAAACACTGACTGCGTAGCCGCCGTCATTTCTCCGCGCTTTGACAACGTCCCTCCTTACACAGTCACGTGATACGTGCCGCCATCGGCCGTTCGTGTTTTTTGTTGTTGGTGTTTTGTCAGGACGCGTTTGCATCGCTTGAGCTGGCCCTGCTGAAAATGCACAGGTGAGGAAGGGAGGAAGGGTTTGGTTAGAGTGAAGGTGGCGTGGTGCTAACACGCGAGGGGTGGGGGGCAGGACAAGTTGTTGAAGGGAAAGGGCGTCGAGCACGAGTGGACCCACAGTGCCAAACTGCTTTTTTTGCTGTGGTAAGTAGCAGTATTTTGTGGGTGCATTTTGTCGGAAGCGAATGTTCTTGTGTGTGGTGTGTCATTTCGTTCCAGGACGAGCCAGCTCGCGGGGGTCACCTTCAATGTTTCGTGCTGTCCAACTTTTCCTGACAGTGATCGCATAGTTGTTGGGTACAACCCCCTGGCGTGATGGGTGTCTTGACACGCACCGGCCGTTTCCATGCAAGGCCACGGCCACGGCCATGAAGCTAAGACTTTCGTCTTGCCTGATTTTCTCGTTTGGTGCGGTGAGTGCGGGGCGTAAGCCAAACCCTAAGAAGTGCTCCTGTTGAGTTTTGGTGATTTTGCATCCTGCCGCCCCCATTTGTTGCTACTCTGTTTCTCTACTTTGGTCACCGGCAGGGGTCCCGCTTTCGAGCTGCCGTCGGTGTGGGCGGCCAAACCAAACCCTCCGAAGGAAAGCCTTTTCGAGTCCTTGGAACGCCGCGAGCCAACGAGGGCGCTACGGTAGGATGCCCTTCCTCCTTCTGTCGTGTGCCACCACTGTTTTGCTATTTTTTCTGTTTGAGACTGGCATGATGCAAGAGTGGCTGCAAGCACAATACACGGATGAAATAGTTACCGTTTGTCACATGTGACTGCTGGTTTTGCATCGGTTTTGTATGGCGTTTTGGTAGGATGATGCATGGTTTCAAAGATGCACATCGCTGTTGATGTAGGCCGGCGCATGATGGCGATTTGATCGATGAATGAAGAGATTGGAGGGAAAATCGTCCGCCTGATACATGCTGGACAGGTGCAAGGTCAGCGGCGACCTGGAAGCTAGGGGCTCGGCGGAGCACCCCCCGGGGACACCGCTGTGGTCCGTCTTCAACTGCGGCTACCGCCGGGAGCAGGACGCGGTTTGGGCGGCGACTCGTTTCGGGCACACGGACCGAGAAGCAACGAGCCAGGAGCAATCATCCTCGTCGGTGACGGTCCAATCGAACGGCAAAGACGGCGTCTCCCCTACCCCGGCCACCGCCGACCCTACAGCCGTGGCCGCTCCGGGAGGCCAAGCGCGAACGGCGCCGGCGGTGACGGTCGACGCCGCCCACTTCCCCACCGCCGGAGGCATGCTGAGGGATGCTCTCGGCTCGCTGGCGCCGGCCGGGTCGCCGCCACCACCCCCGTCGCTGCTGTGGGTGGACCTCCCGTGCGACCCGCCGAATGACTTCGACGGCGACGGCGGGGACAGGCAATGGAGCTCGCTGGCCGAGGTGAGCTTGGGGTGTTAAAGGGAGATGCGTCAGCGGGCAGGGAGAGATAGCGGGTGGGAGACGCGGCTGATTAGGTAGAAAGCATTTGGCGGGAGCTTGTCGCATCGAGGTGGTGGCGGGGGGTAGACTGCCGGGCAAGCGGTGATGTTGAGAAGAGCTTCCGCTGGCTGTAATATGGGGCATGCGACCGCATTTTTTTGTTGTTGGTAAATGTGACTATTCATATATACGCGCTGTCTCGGCGTGAAAGATACATTAGAGTACCCTGGACGAACATGCCACCCGTTACAGTATTCCCGTGCTCAGTCCAAGGTCAACTCCACGGCCCGTGCCCGCTTCCGTTGTCCAAGAAACAAAGCACGATTCTCCCTCCTGTTTGGCTAACCCGAACACTGTCAGCCACACCAACTCGTTAAACTGAACACACAAAAATTATCTCCTCCTTCCACGCCACGCGCGATTGCCCCCCAAAGGTGGACCGCGCGGTGTCCCAGCTGTACGACAAGATGGCTGAGGGGACGCTCCTGGTAGTGGTGTGTCAGGGCGCCCTCACCTCCATGGTGAACCTGGCGGCGAAAAGGATCAAGAGCAAGTGGGACGCCACCAGCAAGGAGAGGATGGACACCATTGCCGGGAAGAAGAGAGATCATTCGCAGCGTAAGCACCTCACCCAGCCCTGCCCTACCCCGAGAACCCATCCGTTTCATCATAGTACGTAAGCCTTCAATTACATGGGCCGTACCGTAGCCAAGCATGTGGGAATGTTGCATTCGTGAGAGTTGTACCTCTCCTGTCTGCCGCACCTTTAGGAATACGCAGTTGACTGACTGTACGAGCCGCACCATCGCTGCTTTCAAGTCGCGCGACGATTATCAACCTTGGCCATATGAGCAGTACTCGGTCTTCGTTTCTCTTGTTGGTTATGATGGTATTCGTGTGCGTGAGCGGAGCAGCGTCTATGAGCTGAGACAAATATCCTAGCACTTCGTTCCATACCCATGTAAAAAATCTCATGCACTAGCTCTTTCCCTCCCCCCTCTGTCTATACCTACCCATGGTCCGTGCCGCACGGCCACCGTTGCATGAAACGCCAACAACTCACTCCCTGGAACCACGGATTGATCTGTCTACCTGGAAAACGCCCTGCCGTAACCTACGCCGAAACCCGCTGGTTGGGGGGTCCGCTCGAATCTACGAACCAGTTTCGACGTTCGACCGTCGGGACGAGGACGACCTCATGACGGCCACCAGCGAGTGCCTCAACGGGATGTGCTTTCTCGCGTCCAAGTAGAGGTAGGGGGACAGAACAGAACAGATCTTGTGAGGCTGCCGAGGGATGTCTTTGTGTTGCGTACTCGCACCAGGCCCGGGGCTGCCTCGCGGTGCGTGAAGTCGTAGGTGGAGACGTTCTTTTTCTAATCGGCAGTCTATTTCTTCCCATTCAGTCTCCACGCTGATAACTGTGTCATGGTTGTGAAGGCTTACGTGAGCACAGAGGTACGCTAGTTACCCGCAGGTCTGCATGCAGCAGACTGATGTACTGTGCTTCCGGGCGGAGGCGGTTGTTCCGTTTCAAGGATGGACAGCGAGATACGTACTTTATGAGATGTCGAGGGACCGTTGAATCGGATTTAGTTCGCCTTGTCGCGCACTACATAAAGCAGATAATCTCTTTGTTGGTCTCGAAAAAAAGCGCTGTAATAGTTGATGGTTAGATTTAGACGTCCCGCGGAGGGCTGCCCACCACTTTGGGGGTGAAGAACGGTTGATCCAGCAGTCTTTTCCAAACGTTTCCCCTAGTTGAAAATTGGGATTTAGCCAGCACAATCCCGCACAAAAGCAACGAAGAAATCTTGTTCGAAATTTCGATACTTAATCTAGGGACAAATGTGATCGGAATCGACACATTAGTCAAGTGAAACATGTCACGCTTTCTCAAATCTGACATCAAGTGATTCGTGCGAGAGGGAGACACATACCACACACAGCAAGAGTTTGGGCGAGAGCGAGCAAGACACGACATACACAAGGAGCCAGACAGACATGGACAGAGGGGGAGGGAAACACACACCACAGCGTGGGCGAGACGGCGGGAGCGTGTGCCCTGTACATACTGCTGTTTGCTATCGGCGAAGGAAGCGAGAGGAGAGATGAACGTTTGGTTGGGTGTCTGTCACCGATTCTTGCTATTAGCAGCCAGCGGCGGTGGCAGTTGACGGCTGCAGCGCCTACTACATACCCTCCTTCATTGGAGAGAGGCGCATCACACAAAAAACACACAACAGACGCTGCTGCTACGCACCATCATTGGTGGTGCAATATGTACTGCTGTACGCCTCTCTACACTTGTGCGCGAGGGACTATTGTTTGTCTAGCCACATCCATTGCACACGCTTTTGAGTTGCCAGCTCGACCAAGAAAGCATAGTGGCACAGCAAAAAGAGCGAGCTTTTTCTTTTCTCATACCTGCTGATGATGAAGAATACCATCCCGAGCTGACGGTAAGTACGATCCCCCCTCTGTGACTGACGGTAAATGCCACCCCCCCTCTGTGGCTGACGGTAAATATTACCCCACCTCTCTGGCTGACGGTAAATACCACCCTGCTTATCTGGCTGATGATGAATACCACCCCCTAGATGACGGTAAATTCCACCCCCCTCTAGCTGACTCCCCCCTCGGTGTTTTGCCATCGGGGTTGGGTTTTCGTCGCTTGGCAATGACGTTGTAAAACAAGCCGCCCCCCCCGGTATTTGCCATCGGGATTGGGTTTCGTCGCTTGGCAACGACGTTGTAAAACAAGCCAATTCACTTCGTGAACTCGGCAACCAGGTTACCGTTTTTTTTTTTACCTCCGTTTTTTTTTTTGGCGGTAACCATAATGGTGGTCGAGTAGATCATGTTGTGCGGGGTGGAGAACCCTCACTCCGCGCAAGGGGGATGATCGCACCACGTTGTGTTAAAATGGTCAAGCACCCTCGAGGCAGTTACACAGTGCTTACAACTGTCTCTGGAAGTGAAAGCACCAGAAAATAAATTAAGTCATACGCAGCTGTCATCCGTACGCAAGGAAGTAAGCACAAGATGCCGAACACCCTTAGCAGGATGCAGCGCACCCTTCATGCGACTCGCCGAATATCTCACGGCGCTTCGCGCTTGGTGATGTGAGAGCCTGGTCCGGTGAGAACCCGGCGTGCTCCGTCCCGGCTTTGTAGGGATGCGAGGTCAATGGTCTAACGACTACGGCATGCACGACTATGAGTACACCCCCCCCCTCTAGCTGACGGTATATATATACCATCCTCCGTCTGAAGGTAAATACCCCCCCCCTCTCCCCCCCGATGTTTACCATCGGGGTTGGGTTTTCGTCGCTTGGCAACGAC